CCGAACACATAGTCAAACATTCACTGAACCACCGGACGATTCACGCGCTCCTCCCACGATGGAAGTTTGGGATTCCCGGTGACACAGACATCCCAAGACGCGTATTCGAATTCCCCGGTTCCCAGCATTGCGCCTTCCTTCAGCAGCTGCCTACAGACGGCCTACCACATCGCATAGCCCATCCAACATGAACCCACACATATCGCTCCCAAGGCCAACAGGCGGCCCGTCAAACTTTGGATCGACCCCATCGTCACGGCGGAATGAAGTCAAGATGCCGCGTTTCTTCAAGCGCATGTTCAAGTTTCCACAGATGGACTTTGAGATGGCCATATGGGAGATCATGAGCCTAATAATAGCACCCAAGAAGGTGTTCCGACAAATCTACTATCATGTATGCATTCCTAATTTCTACTGCGTGTTGCGCCCAACTAACCATGTGTAGAAACAAACCACCAAGACATACCACCGCCCCGACCCATCGTTCACATACCTACTCTCCTTCTTCCTCACTCTCACATCACTTGCGTGGGGCTTCGCATACGCCGATGGCTTTACACAGACCCTTCATATAACCATGGTCTTCATATTTGGGCACTTCTTGGTGCTATCACTGTTGATTGCAACGCTGTTCTTCTTCCTAGTCGGCCGGTTATTGGGTCCGGACAACACATTGCTACCTGGGCGACGGAGAGGACTATACAACCTGGGAGAAGACTCGGGCAAAGAAGAGTTGGAGTTTGGTTACTGCTGGGATGTTGCCATTAGAGCTTTTGTGCCAGTCTGGGTGTTTCTCTACGTTGTGCAGTTCATATGCATGCCATTGATTGGCACTCACCACTGGTAAGAGTCAAAACATTAACAGCTAGAACACGTGCTAATAGTTCTAGGTTCTCACTGCTGCTTTCGAACACACTCTACCTGCTCGCGCTAAATTACTACTTCATCATCACGTTTTTGGGCTACAAGGAATTGCCCTTCCTACACCATACCGAGCTCCTTCTAGTTCCGGTAGCTGTTATGGCAATACTCTGGTTTGCGTCCCTCTTCGGTTTCAACATGTCGACACACTTCGCGCCAGTATTATGGACCGGTGCCAAGTTGCGAAAACACGTCTGATGCTATGCGCAGGGGAGGAATGTAGGGGATGCACATGTAGAGGGAAACCAAGAACACGGCGCAACACGGCATTGGTTGCACAAAGACTTCTGGAATTAGGATTGTCTAATGCCGGAATACAAACAATTCTAGCGAAGAAGTAAACCATCTTAGATACATAGCGAGCGTGCACTGAATACCGTCTAATGCCATAACAATCAGCGTATCAATATATATACATTCATGGATCTACATATATATACACGATGAAGGGTAACTCTCAAGCCCCTCAATCATCGACTCCCAAACAGGCCATGTTAGTACAGACGCACATGAAGTTGCATTATCTTACAAGTTCCTCTTCTCAAACTTTTCCTCATAACACTGAATGCGATCACCGACCTTGAAGTCTTCCCAGCCTTCAAATCCGATACCACACTCGGTATCCTTGCGCATATGCTCCACATCTTTCTTCTGGTTCTTGAGTGACTCTATCACACCTGAACGTATCTGTTAGCACATGCCCTATTCCAAACTACGGCCTGTAAAAACTTACCATCGTGAACAACGGTCTCGCCACGGAGTACCCTGGCCTTGGTACCCCTGTCAACAATACCATTGCGAACCTTACTTCCGGCAACCTTCAGCTTTTTCTTGCCGCCGAGACTGATCTCAAAGACTGCTGCGATTTCCACTTCACCCGTGACCTTTTGGGTGACCTTTGGTGGGAGCTTCTCTGATAGCACATCTTTGACGTTTTCAACGACGCGGTAAATGATGTTACTGTCTAGGATCCTAACACCCTTCTCTTCCGCTAGTTTGGCTACATGGTTAGGGATTGTAGTATTGAAGTTGATGATGTGCCCCTTTGCGTCGGCGGCGTGCGAGATGTCGAATTCAGATGGCGCGCCGACACCGTGGCGGAGGATACGCGTTGATACCTCTGCGTTGCCGAGTGCCGAAACGGAGTCGATGACTGCTTCAACAGAGCCAGACACATCGCCCTTGATGATGAAAGAAACAACTTCGGGTCCAGCTTCTTTCTTCTCGGCGACTACAGCTTCCTCACCATTCTCGATGGCCTTAGCAGCGGCCTCTTCAGCCTCGCGACGTTCGGCCTCTGCACGGCGAGCTTCATTAATGGCCTCCATGTCACGCGCCATCTGCTCTCTGTCGACCTTTTCGCTGCGAAGCTCAGTCACTGAGCTAGCGTGCTGTTCATCCTCTGCCTGAAGCACCTCGTCGCCAGCGATGGGTTGGTCGCGCCAGCCGTCGATTTCGACAGCCATACCAGGTCCCACTTCCTTGACCACGGCACCAGCTTCGTTGCGTAAAGTACGTACGCGCGTCCAAGTAGTTCCTGCAACAAGTAATGTACCCTGGCGAAGAGTACCGCTACGAACTAGGACGGTAGCCACACGTCCAGATTTCTTGGTGGCACCCTCGAGAACCCACCCCTCGACTGCGGCTGCAGGATCGGCGCGGTGGTCCAACATCTCTGACAATGTTGAGATGGCTTCTTCCAAGTCCGGAATGCCCTGTCCGGTCTTTCCACTAACACAGACGGCTTGGATATCACCTCCGAAGTCCTCAATCTCAATACCATGACGACCGAGATCAAGCTTGACAGCATCAACGTCGGCTTGCGCTTTATCGATTTTGTTGATGGCGACAATCATAGGCACATTCGCCGCTTGTGCGTGCTTAATAGCCTCGACTGTCTGGGGCATGACAGAATCATCTGCAGCGACAACCAAAACCACAATGTCTGTCACGTTGGCTCCACGAGCGCGCATCGTTTCGAAAGCAGAGTGGCCGGGCGTGTCGAGGAATGTGATCTTCTTCCCGTTTGCTAGAGGAACACTGAACGCGCCAATGTGCTGTGTGATGCCGCCGAATTCGGTAGCCGCCACACTGGTCGAACGCATATAATCGAGAATAGTCGTCTTGCCGTGATCAACATGGCCCATGATTGTGACGACAGGTGGCCGTGCAGGAAGCTCAGCGTAAGCCTCAGGCTCTAGAGGCGGCGCAGGATAGAGGTCGCCATCATCTTCCTCTGACTGGAAGATTGGCTCGAAGTTGTACTCCTGCGCGATGAGACCGGCATGCTCCGCATTTAAGATGTGGTCATTTTGAACATCCTCAAATCCAAGCTCTTCCAGTTTCTGCACAAAGTCTTCCACCTTTAGCCTCAGAGCGCCCGCCAGGTTGGCTACACTGATGTACTCGGGTAATGATATTGGCGTGGGCTCGTTCTTGGCAATTTGTGCTGCCTTCTTCGCCTCAGCTCGTAATCGCTTACGTTCTTGCTTGCTGACCCGTGGCCCATCTTCATCCTCCTCTTCCTCCCGTTGTATGCGCCGGTTCCTGCCTTTGTTCCCGCCTTGTCGTCGCTGGGGCTCCTCGTATCGATTCTTGACTCCTCCTGCGTCGTCAAAGGCAAAGCGGCTTCGCCTTCTCTCGCTCTCCATGTCATTGCGCCGCCTGCTGTCTTCCTCTATCTGCACCTGCGCCGACCGCTCGATTTCCAGTTTGCCTTTAGACTTCTGTACCCACGCCTCTGCCGCATCGGATATCGATTCCTGGTAGCGGTGAGGTGGCGTGTATGTTGTCGTCTTCTGTTCCGATCGTCCTTGGGGCGGCCGCTCGCGAAGTGTCGGTTTCGTTGGGCAGGCGTTGCTGAGGTGCTCCTTCGACCCACAGTGGAAACATGTTCTTTGCGCATTCATGTCCCTTGCAAGTGGTTGGTATGGCTTTCGGTTTGTGGACGCATCACCCAATAACCTGGATATCTCGTCTTGGTCCAGCATCTTGCTTTGTGGCGGAGGCCTAGAAACCTGTGGTGACCTTCGATCGTCTGCTCCGAAGGGCGCGCGTCCAGGCTGTGGTTCGTTTCGTCGTCTCAAGTGACCTGAGCCAAATGCTGGAGTGTGGACGGGCGGTCTTGAATCCATGTTAACAGTATAGCGATTCTGCGGTGGAGGTCTATAGTCATTCCCCCGGTCGTTCACCGTGTTCCTCCTGGCCCCAGGTCCAAAGCGGTCTCTGTTCTGATTCCGTGCCGGCCCATCGAAGACACCACCTCTGTTCATTGCCCGCCTTTCTGGCTGAGACTGCCGTGACATGTGTGACTGGGCATATGCAGGCGTTTGTGTTGCCAACGATGCTCTCATCCTCTCTGCCGGCGACATATGTCCTCCGTGTTGTTGCGGCGGAGGGGCATGGGGAGCGCTGGCTGCCAACGCTTGCCGCATACGCTGTGCTTGCGACATTGGTTCATCGCGCTCATTTGCATCTTTGTATATGATTCCCTCAGCCGACTGCGGGGTTCTGCTGGACGAGTTGAGCTCTCTCCGTTGCGTAGCGTTGGATGATGTAGCGAGCGTATTCGAGACGGCTAACTGACGAGTGGCGCAGAAGATGCAGATGTCGCGGGTTGAAGAAACCTGCCGCTGTTAGTCGAGACATGTTCAATCGCCAATTGACTTTTATTGATCCTCACCCGAAGTCCACGCGCTCTCCGCATATTGGGCGATGTGGTGCGTAATGGTTCCGAAGATTGTTGGAGTGCATCAAAAGTTTGGCCTCTGTCCCGCCGGCGGATCCTTGCCTTGCCCATCAGTTACTAGCGTAGCGCCACGGCCTGCGGAGTTGCCACGCTCTACACGATTCATTCAATTCACTATTTGCCATGTCGAGTCTTGAAATTAGGATATCATTCATTACAAGTCCAGCTGGACATTGCATATAACCGACAAAAGTAATTTGTAAATGTTTTTTCTTTGCGCACATCAAGATGCGCCAGTAGACTATCTGTAGCTCCCTTAGCATTGCATCGAATGAGAGGCTTAGAAAATAAGCAGCCCATGATTGCGCCCTAACTCCCGTGTTGAACACATCTACTCCCTAGCCTCCTTCATTCGAAGCTTGACACCATCCGCCGGTGCAGTTGTCAAGCTCAACCCATTTCTAACGTATCCCATGCCACCCTTCTCTGTTGGCTCCCAAGTGTTCCCAACACCCTCAATGGCCTCAAATCTCTGCACCAGCCTGACAATGGTGTAACCAGCTTCTGTTAGAGCAAACTGCTGGCCGATGCAGATTCTTGGACCACCGTTGAAAGGGAGATACTCCCATCCACTCTTCCTGCCGTCCCAGCGCTCAGGTTTGAATTCGTCAGCATCGGCACCCCAAAGGTCTTTACGACGGTGCATGATGTATACACTGTAGTCTACCGGCGTGTCCTTCTTCACGTAGACACGTCCGGTGCCGTCTGGGCCGCCACCGACAGGTAGAGTGGTATCTTTCAAGGCACGGCGACCATCGATAGGGACCACTGGGTAAAGACGCAGAGTCTCGTTCAGAACCCACTGCAGATAGTTGCACGACTTCAACCCTTCAAATGTTATCTCTTGTGGGTTGGAATAGGTACCAAACGACTCCAGGACAATGCTACGTAGATTCTTGAAGACATCCTCGTGCTGTGACAGCACCATGAAGACATATGACAGTAGCGATGCTGTAGTGTCACGACCGGCTAAGAGGATTGAGATGGATTGTTCTCGAAGCTCAATGGGGTCGCGGGTTGACTCTGCAAGCGCATCAAGGAAGACGTACTTCTGCTTGCCGTGTGACTTCTCCTGAGTGCTGCTCTTGTCTTTCGATAGTGCAAGCTGGACGAAATGGTCAATGAATGCGTGGCAGCGTCTGCAGTGTTCTTTGAACTCCTTGTTGTAGACGAGCCAGTAGGCCTCTTGCAATCGACCAGCTGTGGCGATAGTGCCTTGGGCCTTGTCGAATGAATTGGCAAAGTCTTGTTCGTTTACAGCCATTGGGGGTTTGCTGGACTTGTAGTCGGGCAGCGCGGCAAGCTGAGAATCGACACTTTCTCCAAAGAGAAATTCTGTGGCGCTATCGATGGTCAGACGGAAGAAGAGCGGCTTGAGGTCTGTAACGTCTGTCCAGCCGTCCGAGTTGGTGCGAATTACTCGCATCATATTCTGCACATGCTCCTCTTCGAGATCCAGATCGCTCACCTGGTCTCGCGCAAACTGAGGCCGAAGTAGTGATCTTGAATGTGCCCACTTCTCGCCGTCGCTAGAGAACTGCCCTATGTTAGCAACTGACATGCTTGTAGCCTAATCTATAGCAATACTTACAATGCCGTGACCAAGCAATGGAAAGAAGTTTCCATTTCGCCTTTCTCCTAGTCCAAAGTCTTTGAACTGCGTAGCCAACAGAGCCTGAATGTTTTTTGGTTCGACCGTGAAGAAAGATTCGGCACCCATCATGTTCTGGTGGAACGTGCTGATGACTCTGCCCTCTCTGTCACTTGCGTCATCGACTCGCTCTTTCAGATACTGCGGCAGACGAGCTTGTTTATCCGCCACGAGTATCTCCGCGATGTTCTGAATTCCGAGAGGATCAAGCGGCGACTGCTTCTTTGGATGGGCGGGCAAGCAGCCCAATTGACGCGCGGCAGCAGCATGGCGGCGCGAGATGATGATCGAAGAGATGATCTTGTAGAGAACATAAGACACGCCAGCCCAGGCTGCTAAGAGGATAGTATTGTGCATTTTGGAGGTGATGCTCTGCTGTGAGAAAGGATGGGTGCAGACCAATGGGTACTGTTGGTGACCAGCGCAACTTATCAATGAGTTCACCTGGTTAAGTATGGGAATTTATCAACTACGCCCTGTCACTAATGCAACAGGGTCCATCTGGCGCTTCCGCTTGCAACGTTCATTTAGGCAACTTGCCGCAAGGATGGGGACGAATTGGTCCATGCGACTCGCACCTGTTCACGACCCGTTGGCTCCTCGGAATCGTCATCGCGCACTAATCGCGCGCGGGACGGATGGATAAGAGCTCCGATTAGGTCCTCGTCTCACACAGAAGAGTAATCGAGCTCGCATTTACTGGCTGTTGATGAAACCGTTACTCTTCCCCGCCTTTTTTGGTTCGGGTTCCTTGGCCTTTTCGAAGCCTTACCCGGCCGAGTTCTGTTGTTTTCTTGCATGCAACACGCCTTGGTAATTATGGCTGTGCACCCGTTACGTCGGAGCCTAGAATGTTAAGGTGCTTTCAACGTTCGGTTAGGAGCCAAGTGTCATTTTGTGAAGTGGAATGGGTCCACTTCAAGCGGGTATTTTGATAGTTCGATATGCCGTGCCTAGGACATGCCTTTCTCATACGGGAGTCTGCAGCGACAGTCGTCGGACGGAAGAGGAAGCTCGTAGACCTGCAAGTGCAGCGTGTGTCTGGCTCTGCCAAGTGTTCCGAGATCCCGGGCTGGTGAAACTTTGCGACTGCCAACAGGGACCGTCAAAGACAGCCCACTTCCGACACACGAGGGCCACGCGGACGCTTGCGGACTGTGGAGAGAAGCTCAACAACAGGTCGTTGTGACTGCAGCATGCTTCGCGTGCAAACCATTCCGTCGATTGATTTGTCCTGGTCTGCGCAGCTGTTCACTAAACCATCTTTTGTTCGTTCCCCGTAATCTCCTTTGCATTGACGAGGCGGCGCGTTGAGCGGTAAAAGCGAGTGTTCGGGATCGAGCAAACGCCTCCCGTGAAGTGCTTTGGTGGTAGAATCGAAAGGCTACATAAGTTTGATTGAATCAATGTCATGAAATTGTTCAGCCTGATGCAATGATGCATTGGTTGCAGAATCCAAATGCGGCCTAATCATTTCGAAGTCGCTCCGAACACTCAAGCGCGTGAGTCGCTCCTGTGACACTCACTCACGACACGGTAAGGGTAACGACTCCCCTCGCAAAAGCTTCGAATCAGTTCAAAACCACTAGTTGCGATGAACAGAGTGTTTGAAACACGTAAAGAGCTAGCTCTGGCAGCATGAAGAAATATCTTCACCATACAGCCTAAGCCCTCGTGCACTCCACCTGACCTCCAATCCCGAAATCAACTACACGAACACAGATGCTGGCTGGGACGGTTTAGAGCGCATCATGCATGCAATACTCGTCGTCGATACTCAGATCGCGGCTCTCTACCTAGCACTAGAGATGACTATCGAGCGCTGAAAACAGCTCTTCGGGTACTGTCCGTAGAGGCCATCTGCCTCACCGGGGATCAACGTGGAAATGTTTAGTAAACAAAATTTCGTCCGGATCTCGAGCGTTGAGAAAGTTGCATAATAACGATACCTACAGTTACCCGAGAACGCATTTCCGATGACCACTGGTAGTTTGTTGGGACTGAAGAGGCTTGGGCTTTGGTCGCGAGACTTACGAGCATAACCTTCAGCTTCTGAAGATCTTCAAAAGTCTGAATGCCTTCATGCCTAAATTCGACGCCCATGGAAGAATGACGCTATCCTTCTGATTGGATGGTATTGTATAGTGAGGACAAGGTGAAAAACGTTGCTGGCCTGGATCATTCACCAGTCAAACAAGAGTTTGAGTGCTCGAAGGACATCCGTGAGTTCTGTCTGCTCAACAAAGACGTATAGAAGAAGCCCAAGAGTGCCCCACGCAGCGTTCTGTCCTACAGCGACGATTGTGACGCCTGTAGGGGCTGATGAACTTGTTTCACGCGAGTTGTGGGCCAAGATTACGACATCATCACTATACAATTCGGAGCAGTTGTTCTGCAATATGTGCCCACCGTAAGGTTACAAACTGTTATACCGAGCAGGCACCACAAAGACCGATAACGGGGCAAAGTCTGTCCAGGAGTCGTAACCTGGACATGGCTTGAATCTGAACTGGAACCAACCGTTTTGTGCGCCGGTGCCTCTTTCCGATTTTGCGTCACGCGTCTGCTGCAAGGGCATGAAGCCCATGGATACCACTTTGATCACGAACTCCTAAAACTGGAAATGACGTGCAACGGGACTGCGCCAACGAGGAATAACTCCTATAAATAGGGTCACCATCAGTAAGCATACTCTGAGGCTGACTCGACGAATCAGTATCTACCAAGCCACCATCCCGATACCGCTTACAGTCAGAGGAACGGCAGCCACAAGCTGCGGCTTGTCAGCGCTATAGTTTAGCTTCGCTGATACATCACGACGCAATCTGCGAAGCGATCAGTCAATTGCCGTTTGGAGCTGACATAGCTGAAGCTGCTGATGTAACGGCATGAAGATCACCATGACGATCTCCGTACAAGTAAGAGGACGCAATGCGGCGCAAGTAAAAGGCCACGCAAAACCTTTAAAAATTTCCAGTTCTTTGGAAAGCTGCTCAGATTTCTTTATAGTGATATAAAGAAGGAATGGCTGCACATACGTACCATACTTCGAAGTCTTTTGCCTCACAAGAGCAAGACTTACAACATTTGCTACCACAGACCATGACTTCCTCAGATTTTTCATCCTCCATGGCATCTCACTCGATGCCACTCCAGTCTACATATGACAGCCAAACACTACCATATGCCGATTTGGAGGATCTCAAAGAAGCCGAGATCGAAGACAGAGTACGTCAATCTCAACAAAGAAGCACTACAAGGATGATGACGTTGAGACTAACATCTACTCGAGCACCTGAAAACGCGCATACGCAAACTACGCATCGTATCTCGCACCCTTGCCTTGTTCATATCCATCGCAGTCCTTGTTCCTACCGCGCTCACCCTCTACAAGTTCCTCAGCACACGAACGATCTACCGCACCGTCGCACTTCCGAGCGGCCAAAGCGTTTCGCGTACACCCTGGGCTCACAACACGCGCGCATGGCCAACATACATGTACTTTGGCGTTGCGGCCGTCTCCGTGCTGCTCAATTTCACAACAATGTTCTCTTATAAATTTGGCATTGCGAAAGCCAACGTAGCAAGCGTCATTACGAGTACTTTCAGCTGGATCAATCTCATTGGGAACTTCGTGGTATGGTGTGTAGCTGCAGGCTTGTATCGCGCAGAGAAGGACAAGAACGGAAAGAGTAACGATCTCTGGGGATGGACATGTAGTGCAGGTGCGAGGGCGATCCAGAAAGAATTTGTGGGCGATATTGATTTCGGCAGATATTGCAACGTGCAGGTAAGTCGAATAGATTGCAGAGCTTTAGGAAAGGACTCGAATGACACAATAGCAGAGTGCGAGTTGGTATATCGGTATTGTACAGGCCTCCGCTGCGCTTTTGACTGTAGTCATTTATGTCTTAGTTTATCTAAGAAGAGTAACCAAGAAGGAGGTGCAGCGGCAATTGAAGATGAGTGGGTACGAACGGAACAGACACTGAACATGCGGAGATTCTTATCACGCATGAGAAATACACGTTACAACAACACTTCTCATCCGGATACCAGCCTCGCCCTCTAGCCGGTACCTGTAAGAGAAGCTTATGGGTGCCTCGGTATCCCCAACAACCACACCACGCCATCCCTTTGTCCATCTCTGTCGCACTTACCAACCGGCCCCGAAACCCGTTGTTTTGCATGCACATGATGTATCTACATTCACCTGTTCCAGATCTCCCGCTCTTATGTTACCTCTTCGGTGGCTTGGCTGCATGTACCGAACCCCAACCTAGACCCTGCTTACCAAAACAAGCAAGACCCTTGCCAGGAACAGGCAGCGCTCTATGGTTTGCACCAGGGGAAAAATGTACCAAACAGGTGATATGGGGAATGGAAAGGCGGGGAGAACATCCAAGCAATGCAGACTCCACAAATATCCGCTGCATGGGAGACAGAGAGGCGGGATGAGGACAACCATGCGCGAGATGCTGAGGGTTAAAAGGCGGAGCGACCCACTGCGATTACTATTCGGGCGATCGTCACAATTCCCTTGCTTACTCTGGCCGTTGACTTGAGTGAAGAATCTGCAAAATGCTGGTATGTCAAAAAAGAGAAGATGGCTGAAGGAACAGGAAGACTGATGATATGATTAGTACGTACGTTCATTACCTGCGCGAATATGTATGACGGGGCTCCTACTTGTTGCAGGAGGCTTGGCGCAACAAACGCAAGATGAATGTGGTCAAGATTGCTTGCTGGAGCGAATCGAGAAGCTTGAGAGTGATTATGCGTTGATGGAGGTTTTCGTGGTAAGTATAGACTGATTCACCTGCTAATCGGAGATGAGACAGTCTAGCATGCTGACCATGGGTATAGTTTCCAGGTGAAGTTACTTCTCCATCGTTTGCAGCATACTCGGCTGCTGCTCCACCCAGCGACCCCACCTCAACATTCAGCCCGTCGAGTCACTACACTACATTCATCACTTCCGGGATTCCCTTTCCGTCTTCTGTGTCCATCAGCCAAACGAAAGTGCAGTCCTCAACACCAGGCACACCTTCTTATTCGACCTCCCAATCGCAAACCTCATCAACCGATACTATCCCTGCTGAACCTAACATCCCTTTTCGTCCTGGCTACCGCTCAGTAGCTTATTACGGGAGTTGGGATATCTATACACGGAACTTCCAGCCCCAAGAGATACCAGCAAAGCGGTTAACTCATTTGCTTTACTCATTTGCTGATAACAAGCCTGATGGCACCGTCTTCTTGACAGACTCATACGCCAATGCGGAGAAGCACTATGCAACCGATTCCTGGAACGATGTGGGAAATAATTTGTACGGATCACTCAAGCAGCTCCAGATTCTGAAAGCCAAGAACAGGAACTTGAAGGTGCTATTGAGCATAGGCGGATGGACACACACCAACACAAACAAGCACATGGACGGCCCTATGGCTACGGCTGAAGGCCGGCAGCGCTTTGCGTCTTCTTGTGTTGAATTGATCCGCGACTATGGCTTTGATGGGATTGACGTGGATTGGGAATATCCCAAGGACAAAGAGCAAGGGTATCAATGGCTAGAGCTGTTGAAGGAGATTAGGAGCCAGATGAACAAATATGCCGATAAGCTCGTGCATAAGGACGACTCTGGATATGAACTGAAGCCGAAGTTCCTCTTGACGATTGCCTCGCCGGCTGGTGAGAAGAATTACAGGAATCTGCCTTCAAGGGAAATAAGCGAAGTTACCGATTTTATAAACCTGATGGTAAGCATGTTGTTTCCCGGTCGCAAAGGCACATGAGCTGACGAGAGTATAGGCATACGACTACGCTGGTTCCTGGAACAAGCAAACCGGCCATAACTCGAATCTCTATCCTTCGACGTCGAATCCCCTGAGCACACCCTTCAATACAGCTTCTGTCCTGGCCGCCTACAACGCTGCTGGCGTTCCGTCCTCCAAACTCAACCTTGGCATGCCGCTCTATGGTCGCTCCTTCACCGGTACTCAAGGTGTAGGGAAGTCATTCGACAGTACTGGCGAGGGGTCGTTCGAGAAGGGCATCTATGACTTCAAGGACCTACCGGTAGCAGGTGCACAAGAGTATTATGATGAGGAGGTTGGTGCATCCTATAGCTATGACGAGGGAAGCGGCACATTTGTCAGCTACGATACTGTGGCCATGGCGCTGAAGAAGGTTGACTACATTGCGCAACAAAAATTGGGTGGCGCCATGTGGTGGGAGATCAGCGGTGACAAGACGGATAACGCCGGGAGCATTGTGCAAAATGTAGGTTGCATGCGCAAGATGGTGGAGATGAATTGTGTGCTAACTTTTGAAAAGGTTATTGAGAAAATGCGCGGCGGCGGAAGTGGCGCAGGCATTGAGTCGTCCTCCAACTGGCTCCTGTACCCGGACTCAAAGTTTGACAACATCAGGAATGGCGTCCTCACGCCACAAGTCGCCCAGCGGCTGCGCAGGGCCTGAGTCATTGGCACAGGTGCAGCTATAGGCGAGTATGTCAGGTGCTGCGAACTTAAAATTGCGTCAGTTGTCAACGATTCAACGATGGTCATCGGTAAACGTTGAAACGGAGCATTGGTGGCGCGAGCACTCATGCGTTCTCATAGATGTAGTAATAAAACTTGTGTCATATACCTTACCCTTGAGAAATTTCGCTTATTGCCAAGCTGGAACATACTCTGGCACTGGATCTCCGTGACACAGTTGCAGCAGTGTTTGAGGCTCTGTTGGACCCTGGGTGTACGCGACGACGCGGAAGCTATGCTGCTTCTGGCGTAGATCATCCTCGATATATTGCCAGTGTTGGTATTCTGCTCGACCGGCGTCCTACGATGGCCGACTAGGGTGCTAGAGGTGGAAAAAAGTTTACACGATCACAAAGGCGGCGGATCTACTGCTGGTGATTGTCGTTGAATTTGTGTGGTGTCTGAGCGCATGACAGCTAGGATATGCCCGCCGCGCGCCTGCATGCCGCCTGCCGAATCATATGTACAGGAAGTAAACGCCCTAGCTCCATTTATGCGGCGAAAGTAATAGCAGCCGTACGATATAGCACCAAAATGTGCTGGTAGGGTATAGTAAAGTCTGTCTTGGGCACCAGAATGTGCTCATCTTACTGCCTCCTGACCTCTTCTGGCGAGCAAGTGTCGGCAGGCGGGAGCAAGCGCTGGTAGGATTGCTCGCCAACAATAGTCGACTCCCTATGCTCCAGGAAGGTGCGTATGCGCTCGTCGCGATCTCCACTTGCGCTCAGGGTAGCATTCCTACTCCGCCGATACTCCATGCTCGCCTCTCGGTGTATCTGGTCCCGCCTCTCAATGACTGAGTTGTTGAAGGTGTTAAACCTGGTGCCCTGCACGACACCACCTATGCTTACAAAGGCAAAAATGAGGGCCATGAAGGTGAAGTTGGACATCTGGATGGTTCGCGCGTCATCCTTGCCGCCGCCGCCGTTCTCGTAGTGCCAGCGCTCCCAGTCTTCCCATGTCGCATTGGTACGCGGGTCCGTGGCCCAGCGATTTGGATCATAATCCCAGTCATTATGGCGGGGTACGGTGGGTGTCTGGTGGTGGCCGGCCCAGCCGTGGCCCCAGGCATCATACGCTTTGCGTTTCTGGACATCAGACAAGATGTCGTGTGCAGCGACTAGCATTCGATAGCGCTCGAGGCGCACGTGAAGGGGCAGCTGAGCTATAGCGGCCGAGGCATGGCAGCGGTCGGGGTGGTAGAGCTTGACGAGGGCATAGAAGCGGTGCTTGGTGTATGCATCGCCCTTTCTGCATTTGAGAATCTGGTAGGGGGTGGGTGTTTTGTGTGGTTTTTCGGCATCTGGCCATTTCAGCAGTTCTACGTCGTCGGGGTACGCGGGCACATGCTGATGTTGGGCGTAGCTGCGCCGTTGTCGTGCGGGCTCAAGACGTGAGAATGTATGACGGCATGACTTCCGCGGCTGTGGAGGGCAGCAGCTCGGGACGTGAGCATAGTATAGGGGACTGAGGTTAGTGTAAGACGAAATGAGTATCGACGACTTCTTAGACAGCATGGTCAAGCAACGGCATCCGTGGACGGGCGCGCATCTCAAAGCTTCAGTCAGGTGTCGGAGCAGATGGGTGGGGTGGTGAATGCTGGTGGCGTCGGCGCGCGCATGGACGATCGCCGCGCACTCCGCAGGCTTTGGGCGCATGCGCGATCAATCCACCGGTACCTCGCGCTAGCCCGCTTACACAGCACATGCGACACTTTGAATGCGAACAGGAGTTGCCGTTTTTTTCTTCGCTCTTTGCTGACCCAACTTCTCCGACGGCGCCGTCGTCTCAGAAGGGAAGCCACTATGCAGGTGCGGTCTATTCCGCTCCCCTCCAGTTGCTCAGACCCGACGCCAGTGGAGCCTCTTGTTCCGCGACTCAGCCTGTCTGTTTGACGTGAACTCCTTCGCCTCGCTTGCGCATGCCTTGGGAAACTGCCCCTGCAGCGAGACAAACACTCGGGTCACGACGCATGAAATCTACCCTGGAACCTGCCTACCGCCTATTGTCCTTGTCCTCTGCAGAGTGGGCTAACTGTGGGGTCTAGAGGGCACATCCTGACTTCTATAACCGTTTGTTATCACTCCCTGTCGTGCCTCCTCTCCTCCACTCCCTCTACGCCTTTGCTTCTTACTGTCCTTTCCGCTCTTCATTTACATAAATATCTGCCTACCTTTCATGTTGACTGCCTCACGCACTTCCCACAAAACTTCCAGCCCCCTGCAAGTAAACATGGCAAACATCTACGACAGTACACGACACCCTCGGGAAGGTTACTTGAATCTCACCCGTCGGATGGAAAACGAAGAAGAAGACCAGTTCGATGTCGACTTGACTATCTTGGACTTTCTTGTTTACAAGGCCATTGGCTTGATATTCGAATGGAGAACAAGCAGTGACCCTTATCATTCCGATTTGCCCAATGCACTCGTCAACATGACCGCTGGTATGAACGGACATGATCTCCTTGTTGTAGCAATTACTGATGAAATGAAGATTGGAGAACGTTTCTGGGTCACAGGCACCATGGCCGACGTCTAGACCCCAAGGCGTCGTTTCGGTCCCGGTTGTTGCAGTTCGCCCTAATCTTTACGCACAGACTGCACCATGACGAGACATGGACAACCGAGGAATCACTCGACAGTCTTCGTGAACAGAACAAGAGCCGTGGCGAGTACTGGCAACAACGAACTCAGCATCCTTCTGCACTCCAACAGCCCTTCGACCAGCAAAAAGATTTTCCTTTATCCGATGGCGCGCTTTACGAGAACCGATCAGCCCTTGCATCCGCATTGAGCATGCCTCCAGATCAGAGGAGATGGGTGACTGATGTAGCAGGTACACCCTCACTCCACTGCTTACTGCCAGTCTTCATCGAACTCACGGCCGCCCGTGTGAACCTGGATGATGACTGGTTCCCAACTTCTGAATGGTTCGACTTGGCAGGGCAATTCATGCTGCAAGCTGTCATAGGCGAATACCTTCGCAATGGTGCTTACGGCGACGAGACTTTCAACACCATCTTTGCCTATGGCTGCCCTGGTGTTGAGCGCTGGGCTGAAGAACCAGCCGACGTAGCTGCTATGCGAAAACTCTTTTGCGCCGAAGGCAACCTCCGAGAAGAGAACCGCGAATGGACGAGGATCAAACAACAATACGTCAGCGAGCTTCTGCCACGAGACCGGTCCCAGTCAAGTCTTCAAGCGATAGAAGCAGCTCAGGAACGGCATCCATATGCTGCTTTTGAGGAACAGCTTCTCTCTTTCCTCAGGTATCTGCATGATGGTCTAGTCAAGCCAGATCTCGCTCAGGTCGAAGAAGGCCGCATCAACATCGACGGCAATGAACTCTCTGAAGCCGAGTCGAGAGCGATGATTCGGCGCATGGGCCTTTAAAGACTCTGTCATATACCAGCCTCTGATCTCGGCCGGTTCTGATGGGAATTTTTCGGATGCCTGTTTCTTTCTCCGACCGTTCAATTTCGCATCTTCGTAGTAGCGTATGCCGTTCTTGTTTATACCTTTTGAAGCATCGACATTTTTCTCTTCTTACCTTGCGAATTACTCTTCCAGAACCACAACATTTATACCAAAAGCCATGTAGCTGCGCACGTTTTGTACCATATACCCAAATTAGCTAGTCAGGACATCGACGCAGGCATGTAGTCGATGCAGTCATTCAACATTTATTAGCCGCTTGGCGGCTATTCGATTTCGACTCTACTTTCCATAACAGAATACTTTCAAATCTCCTGCTACGTCCCCAATCGCCTTCCTTGCTTCATCACTCCAAGCGCCCATCTGCAACCACCCATGCGTCATATCACCATAGTGCCTCCACCTGACTTCGTTCCCAGCCTCTCTCAATTTACTCGCATACTCGACACCCACATCCCTTAACGGATCGAAGCCACTCGTATACACACTCGCCCTCGGGACATCCTTCAGATAACCTAGACTCTGCATACCAAGCGGATTGTACTGATGCGAAGGCGGCGTACCACGCGGCAAGTAGTGGTCTGCGAAACTGAAAATTCCATTGCATTCGAGGTAGTAGCCGCTATTATTTCCAGTAGCTGCCGGAGTATTAAAGGGAAGGCGCGCCTCGGGGTAGAGCAAGACCTGGACTGCCACTGGCTTCTTCTTTTGATCCCGGCGTCAGTGACAGATTGCTGCTGTCATGTTTCCGCCTGCTGAATCGCCGCCGCCACAGACACGATCAGGGTGAACGCCTCGTGCTTTGCCTCCTCCGCCCTGAAGCCAATCGATAACGGTGTCGTATTCGTCTAGTTGGGTTGGGAATTTGAACTCTGGTGCGAGATGGTAGTCGATTGCACAGACCTAGAACGGTCATATTAGCTCTTCATCTTCTTGTATTTCTTGGTTCCAAACGTGATGTACCTGTACCCCACTCTCCTCAGCAACCTGCCTCAACCCATTCTCAAACTCATCTACACTTCCTACTGTGTACCCCCCGCCATGGAAATATACCCATGCCCCGTTCTCGCCTTCTGCCTTTCCGCTTTTCGGATACAGAATTCGGACTGGAATCATTCCATGCGGGCCTCGCACAGCCGTAAACTCTACTCTCCCAATGGCATATTGCTTGTCTTCTGGGATGTTGTGAAAACCAAAGACTTCAAGATGCTTTCTCCGCTCAGCGTGAAAGTCTTCGTCTCCGCCGAGATGAAGCGAAGAATGTGATTCAAGAAAGTGGAATATGGAAGAACAGAGCGTGCTACGGTCACCTGCTTTTGGGATGTGGGAGTCGGAAGATGGAGAAGGCATTATAGGAGAGAAAAAGGTCAAACTTGTCGCTTGTATGCTTGCGTATGAAACAGAAGTTAGCTGGGGGTTTGTTTGCAATCCCGCTCGTTGGGCTTTCGCAATAGTATTTCTTTTCTTTTCATGTAATTGCCTCCCGTCATACTGTGCATAGTCCTACGCGTGATGATGCAAACGTCATTGTTACTCGTCGGTTCCGGAATTCCGACCGGGTGGACGCGTGGAACGCTTCCTTCCGATTTCAGGTTGATGAGGAGTGGAGTCCGTAGGCCCACGATGTGCGCACGCCAATATCCGGAGCATAGTTTTATACCCGATCCTGAGAGTCTAGTCATGAAGACGCGCTAGCGAATATGTGGATTTACCCATCGTTATGATGATATGATCTTGGTTATCAAATACTTCTTATTTGGTTTGAGAGAGAGATATCGCGTATCCTGAACCTAATCTTACAACATGTCGTCAAACGTAGCGATGAGCGCCCTAAAAGGCGGAGGTATATATACAAGAATCAAAAGGGGCTTTGACTAGCAAATTAGATAGCAGAGTAAACAGCAGTGCATCCACGTCCGCATTCTACTTTTTGCTCAAACTCCACTGTCCGGCCGTTGACCTTGACCTTGTTCCTTGGTGTAATTTGGAACCGATGCATTTCCTTCTCTCTTAGTTGCTTTCCGAACCCACCGGCAGACGCAGCGCGTTCTAGCTCGGCAGCTTGATCAAGTGGCTGGATATATGCTGGTGTGGCTAGGTTGCTCCGCTTTCCACTACCAATCTGGTAGAACTCGTTATTGCCCCAGAACAAGATGTCGCGACCCCAGTTCGTATCGTTGTCTGTAAGCTTTCTCGATCGACCGGATACAGCGACGCTGGCGACATTGTCGAGAATGGCGGCAGCATGTGTTGCGCCGACAGAGATGGTGGACAGGCGAATGGGAATTGCAGTGTTCTTGACTTCATCCCATTCGAAGAGACCGGAGAAAGCAGGGACTTTGACGGGGTCTGCCTGTGTGTGCACCCATCGACCAGTACCTAGTTGGCCTGTCAGACCGAATCCGAAGGCCCAGGTGTCTGCGGTGGTTTTGTTGCCCTTGGTCGCTTCGGTAGCAAGGAAGGACGTGTTGCCGCCAGCGAAGACATTTGTTACCTTGCCTACCTGGCCAGAGTAGAGCTTTTGTGTTGGGAGTAGGGATGGAGCGTCAACGCTTTGTGCCTCGGCATTGTACGGGAAGCCCAATTGGCCAGAGGTGTTGTCGCCAAAAGTAAAAGCGCGTCCTTCGGAGTCGCAGACTAAGCTGTGGTAGTCACCAGCAGCGATCTTCTTGACGGGGAAGCCCTTGAGCGTAGTGATCTCGTGAGGAATGTCGAAAGGCCCAGGCGGTCGACTCTCCCACGACAGACCGGGTATACCCATTTGGCCCTTGCTGGGGAAGTCTTGTGAGCCTGATGCGAACGAGAAGACACGGCCGGAAGACGTGAGCATGAGGGCGTGCTCTAGACCAGAGACAATATCTGTAACGCGCTCATTCCACCCCAGATTCTCAGGCGTGCGCTTTCGGTACGAGATGTTGGAACCGCCCCAGAAGGGGATCCAGGACCCAGATGGCGGCTTGGGACCCTCCTTCTGCTCCGCCTGCGAGACGGGTATAGAGTATACGGAGCCGCTCTTGGAAAGGCCAATAATTCGATCGCGTGAGATGGCCAGTGATGTAAGGTTGTGGCCAGTAAGAGTCTTGGTAGGCTCCTTGACATCGTTGGCGAAGGCGGTGCCCCACTGTAGGAGATCGCCCTTCTCGTCAATGGCAGCACCGAAATTTCTGTCCAGCTTGATATCTCTCAGCAGCTTTCCGTCAAAGAAAGCCAGCCGTCTTGGTGTCTTTATGTATCTTTCGTCTGAGTCGGGTGCCACGACCTTGCCCGCATTTGAGCCCCATGTGTACACGCCAGGATTCTCCCAGCTCTTTATCACCTGAAGGTGCTGTGAGCTGATGATGTTCCTGTTGTCGTCGCTCGATATGGCCTGCCGCCGGGGTGCTTCAAACTTTATTTCGGGCTCCTCTTGCTCTTCAGCGTGCGCATCTCGTATGATCGACTCGCCATTGCACCATTGCCATGCCGTGGCGGTGGCCCAGAGCGTGCCGACGGTAGCTATGGATCGGACGAAATGCTGTTGTCGTCGCTGTGCATACGGATGTGAGGCTGTGCGGACCTGGGATGGCGGGGGTCTAGTCGCTATGTGCCTAGATAGCCGCGGGGCATGAGGCGTTCGTAGGGATGCGCGTGCCACACATTTGGTGCTGAGCATGGTGTAGTATGTCGAGACTTGTGGGTTAGTGGTAGCAGTGTCGACCCAAAAGTGTCTGGTTGAATCAAGAGAACGACATTTGCAACAATGTCCAAAGGTCCGATTATAGTTGGAGCATTGGTAATTGGACAGCTACGATAGTTTCTCGAAATCGTAGCGGCGTGATCAATGACGCTCTAGACTTTCTCCACAGTTGACAGCGAGGCTAGCACCAATCCAGACTGGCGCCATCCGCTGCACCCCCACGAGCATCACCGAGCTCCGACATGTGGAAGCTGGCGTCGTCGTGTTTGCTGTCCACAGACAAGAACCCCGCCAGCTTTCGAATTGCGCAAGAATGTATGAGGCAGACTCGTGGTACACGGCCTTTGTCCCGCGCACAGCCAAGCCCCAGGAAAAGGGCAAGCATCGCCGGAGAGAGAGCCTGCTTAAACAGGAGAACGTAAGCCCACCATCCGCTGCCGGGTACGTTTGAGCACTTCTGATGATTGTACTTTGCAGGAGAGTCAGGCTGACTTGGAGCGCGTAGAAGCCATCCCAGAGACGGCAGATGAGGACCGACCCGGAAAGCTCAATGGCCCTCCACCGGCCACCGTGGCCAGACGCGCCAAGTCGTACAGCGACTTCTACACGGTCGTGCGCGCACACCTGAGGAAGGAAAGGGCACTGGAGAAGAAGAAGTCGCGTGAGGACATCAGCACCGAGCTCGAGTTTGCCGATTGGTATGGCGGCCTCAGCGACGAGCTGCTGGAAGCCAGCCACGACGAGTACAGGCTCTACCAGCACCAGCTGCACATGACGCGAAACCACCTCGAGAACATCAGCTCTGACACTACTTCCACCCTCCATGTCCTCTCCTCCCTCTCCGAATCCTTCAAGGTCGTCGAAGCCCAGACAAACGCATTTCGCACACAATGTGAAGGCCTCATCGACGACCAGAAGCGCATTACCAAGCTCGCCGATGACATGGAACAGAACCTCCGATACTATCTGTATCTCGAACCTACTACGAAACGGCTCAATGCTCCAGGCGCGGGCAAGATAGTGCGGGGCAGCGAATTCGTCGAGATGCTGGCGAATCTGGACAGCTGTCTAGAATACATGCAGGCGCATTCCAAACATCGTGAGGCCGAAACGTACCGATCCAGATACCGACTACTCCTCACTCGCGCCCTTACGCTCATCCGTGTTCATTTCACCGAAGCCCTTCGAGAGATTGCAGCCGATGTATCTAAGCGGATAGCGGATAGACAACTGAACGACACGACCATGTCTGCACTGCTATACGCCAAGTTCCGCGTCGGAGCCCCAGAGTTGAAGAGTATAGGCATCGAGATACAGAAGCGGGCAGTGCTGCCAGCTGGAGCAGCGCCAGGCGGCGAAGCAGAGTACCAGAGTCTAATGAATGAGCTGTACCAGAGCTACTCGGCCACCCGTGGCCGCCTCATCCTTCCTATCGTTACCAAGAAAATTGGAGACATTGCACAAGCTCCAAGCACATCGACAGACCTTGTCGCTTTTGCGCGGAGTAGCATAAGCTACATACGAGGCATATGTTTCGACGAGTGCGACTTATGGCGGGAATGGTTCGACGGCGACGGCGGATTGTACGACTTCTTGGAAGCCGTGTGTGAACCTCTCTATGACTATCTCCGACCACGCACTATCCATGAGACGCAAATACTTAAGCTGTGCGAGTTATGTACCCTGATACAAACACGATACATGGAGGAGGAAGAGGAAGAATCGCCCGTTGACGCAAACAAGCTGGACTTCTCTGTCATTGTACATCCCGCACTGCAAGATGCACAAAACAGATTGGTCTTCCTATCGCTTGCAATTCTGCGGGATGATATTGAGAGATACAAGCCCAAACCAGAAGATCTCGACTACCCAGCAAAGAACAAGAAGCACGCCACCTCCGGAACAAAATCGAACCAACCCGTCTTGTCTGGCAAGAAGCAACCCAAGTCCGAAGTGCCGCCCACCCCATTGATGCCAAAGACGCCTACAATAGTCGAGGACGACGATCCAGATGCGCGGTGGAACTTCAACACTGAAGCGGCCTTCAAAGACTGGTACCCTACATTGCGTAAAGCGATCTGGTTGCTCAGCAAAATCTACAGGCTTGTCCATGTAGGTTCTTGAACGGTCGCATAACCTGTCCATGCTAATATGCTCCCAGTCCTCTGTGTTCGACGACTTGGCCCATCACATTGTTCATAGCACCACGCTTTCGCTTGCTCAAGCTAGTACATTGCTAGCCAAATCCGCCTCGCCGACCGACGCTGCTCTCTTCCTCGTATCGCACCTCCTACTCCTCAAGCAGCAGATTGTGGCTTTCGACATAGAGTTCGTTACACCAGAAACTGAAGTCCAATACAACTTCTCCAGTGTCACAAACACGTTCTGGGAGCTGCGTGCTCGTGGTGGTCTCTTCAACCCGCGCAACCTGGTCGGTCTGCTCATCCCCAAAGTTGTAGAGAACATGTTGGATGCCAAAGCTGAAGTAGACGCGCGCCTACGTCAAGCGATTAACGACTTTACCGGACAATTTGTCACTCGCATGACAGCTCCGATCGATACCAAGAACAACAAGAAGGTACCACCGAGCGAGGCCCCTGCGCGCACGAGCAAGATCCGACAGAACATCGAACAAGAGACACCGTTCTTACGATCGAAACTGGAAGAATACATTACCGACGCACGTACACGCGAGATGCTCGTGGCAGCTGTAATGGAATCTGTCACGCAGACGTATGAAGATTGGTATGACACGTCATACTCTCCATCCCTTGGCAACCAAAACGGGATCAGCAGAAGCACCAAGGGCAAAGGTAGGGAGGATGGCGTGTGGGATCCGGATGTATTCAGCGAGTGGTGCGGCAATACATTCAAAGTCGGCACGCTAGGCTTGGGCATCATGGACAATGAACAAGAAGATTATCAAGATCGAGATGATAGCGACGCGGATAGTATGGGTGCTGCCAGTGGGCGGTCAGGCACAGAACGGACAGGGAAGACCGGCTTGAGGATCAAGATGTGAGACTCGTCGGTGGATCAAGCATAGTACGATAAACGACTATATATACTCGCATACAGGCCTACGGGAATGTGTTCAAGATGCCATCACCATGCTACAGGGAGAAAATCTACCATTACTTTCTTCCCACATTCTTGGCTCCCCAACATAGGTGTTCTCTTTTCTGACTCTTTTCGCCCTGCGACATCCACTTCTATATGCGCTTCACTCTCCGAATCACGTTCTTCTCTTTTTCGTACATTGCGCCTTTGCTGCCTCGCTTTCCGTCGTCGCAGTGCATTCTTCTCGCGACGCTCCATTACATCGCTTTCTTCACCTTCCTACTGTATTTGATTAGCGTCATTGTCATTGTCATTGTCATCCTCGCCTCGAAAAAAGCGGAAAACAGAAACTTACCGAACTGGTCTCGGCTGAATCTGTTGATCTGTGAAGGGACTGGTAAGATGATGTTGTGGAGAGTACAGAGAGAGGCTTGGTCGGTGGATACTTGGCTTCATCTTCCGTGTCGCTTGCTACCTCTGTTGCTGCATCGGAGGAGGTTGAGAAGCTGGAAGAGGGACGTATGATCTAGCAATTTTAGCATATAATGGGAAAGGTAGAGAAGATATGTCATGAGGAACTTACTGCGTCTCTATTATCCTTACCCATTTTTCCTTTTCTCCTCTTGTTCAGCTGGAGTCTCTTCCTCGTTTGTTCATTCAATTCTCGTTGTTTTCTCGGCAACACGTCTTCCTCCTCTTCCCCACCTGCTCCGTTCTCTCGATCCATACGAATCTCACCATTCTCAGCGCTACTACTTAGGCTATTGCGCTTTTTCATCAGAGCTATGCTTTCCTGTTTCTCCAAGCTCTCTGCCACATCAAGCACTGACGCCATAGATACTTGGGCAGCCTTGTATGCTTTGCCCGAGAGTCCAGAAACTGAAAGCTGAAAGGCCATGTATGGGCGTAAGAGATCGAGGGATGAGTTGATGTGAGAAATTTCCGCATTCTTTCGAAAGCTACCAGTGTCCATGATCGTGCTGTCACATGCCTTGGAATCATGTTCTGCCTCGCTATAAGTATCGGTGTTGGTGTCAGAATGAATGCTGTCCGGTTTGATTCTGGAAGTCAGAGTCTTCGAACGTGTAGTACGAGCAGTATAAATAGCTGGAAATGGCTTATGTTTCTTCGTTGCTGAAGCTTTTGGCGCTGGATTTTGAATGCGCCTTTTTGCGCGTGCTGCGATCTTCACTACATCTACCATATCATCATCTTCTTGCTTGATGTTTATCATACCCTCTTCTTCTTCATCCATATCTCGTACAAAATCTGCAGTACCGCGCGCTCGTCCTTCGTCGAGAACAAGAGGTGTCTTGTCTGTCCTGTTGTTGTCTAGTTCTATGGATGTTATTGATGCACGGAGTGCTTCGACTGTAGATTCGAGTCTTGGTACGATCCTAGCAATGACGTTGCGGGATGGCGGTCGAGGCCGCCCTTTGGTAGCCCGTGTACGAGCCATGGTGACCGTTCAGCTAAATCAGTCTGGAGCAGACGTTCATGTTAAGGTAAGGATGGTTTAAGGTAGTCAAGGATATATTTGATGCGCGATCTCGCAACTAGGAAACAGACATTAGATACATGGGACATACAAAGAACTGCCCACAAGACAGCATCTATAGAGGGAGAAACTCAAGAGCAAACTAAGGTAAGTTGTGATTGGCATGTTGTGTCCAAAGGCTATATTAAAGAATCTTTTATCATGGGATTGCAAAAAGCTTTCGCATTGTTCATGAGGAGCAAACCTACTTTTCCAGAATCTATTGGTATCGTATCTGATTAAGAGATCGTGTAAGCTTGTCAACATTTCGCTCCAACCGTAAGAAGGAGCTAGTCTTCCTGTATCAGCCTTAGAATAAGCTTTAGGCATTACTTGTGACACAACAAGAACAAGCTCCCTTGTGCAGGTCCTCGCCGTTGATTTCACTGAGAACTAGCTTGTCGTCCGTTTTCTTATTCCCTCTTGCTACACGGGGCAGCTTACCTCTGTTTTTGAGTCCGTATGAGATTTTCCTATCTATGTCGAGAGATTGCTTGTTCATGGTATCGATACGAGTGTTAGGTTCAGCTGCCCTTGATCATAACTTTGAGTAGTGGCATGAGCTGAACAAGCCAAATAGAGAGATATAGATTAAGCTATGGTGATAATAATAGTTCCAACATTTGGTAGAACATAAAGAGACCAAGCTTCTTCGCAACAGTAGGCGTAAGAAGTATAAAACGTCAGAAGCCAATTCAAATGCGATACAGGTTGTGGTAACAATAAGTCAACGCCAAATGCTATGCTAAGAGAAAAACCTGAAGGAAAAACGGTGCAGCCTTTACAGCACGCACGACCACTACACCCAAGTGCTCATAAAGGCACGTTTGGCAGAATCATCCCAACTTGAGAAGCAAGCGGATCGATAGAAGGCTGCTTAGTGACGGTGTTGGCGGCATTGTCCTTGTACTTTGCCAGTGTCTTGTTGGAGTTGAAGTTCTGGTTGATCACACCGCTCATGCCTTTTTGGCAGTGGTTACCGTTGGGCTGAGAGCAGTAATACCAAATCGGGTTCTTGTCTGGCACCATGAAGGCGAAGACATTTGGCGCCTCTCCTGCAGTAGTGTTGAAGTTGAAGCCGGAGAAAATCGCGTTGTCACCGCCGAGAGGCTCGCATGGTTTGTCGAACGATGATTGCACAAACGTGTGCGCTTTAGGAAGAAAGTGAAATTCCATTAGATCGCCAGGTTCAGCCACGACGTTTTCAGGCTCGAAGTGAAGGCCATTGTTGGCGGTTGTAGAGCCAGCAAAGACGCGGTGTATTACACCAGTAGACTGAACTGACTGTGCTGGGATAGCAGTGGTGAGACTGATTAGCGTTGCGGTTGCCAGAGTAATTGATGTGATGGCGACCATATTGAATGATGGATTGATATGTTGCGAATTTGTAGGACTGGTAGGATGTGATGGAAATGCTCTCAGGAAGGTACTGTGATGATGAAGTTGACCAAGAAGAATGTCTACAGATATATAATCATGTAGCAATTCCATCAACAACTTGCTATTTCATATATCCTAAACATAGCCTCAGGGTGATGATGCTGCCATTTGGCGGTAAGCTGTGCCATTCTTGCCGCGCTGAGTCGCTAATTTGGTCAGCTCCACAGCCCCAGGCTTGCTGCGTGACAAAAACGCAGAGAATAGCACAGTAGCATGCCGGGGATGAACAAGCCTCGTCTTACACAGTCATTTCGGATGTGGATTGTTCCAGTATCCGCTTGAAAGACACCTGATGAGCGTCTAGCAATCCTGCTAGGGCCGTCGAAATGGCTGACTTGGGGTTTTGACATTGTCATGGCTGAGCTATACTGCGAGAGAAGTCCGTCCAGCGCGATTGTCATACATCTGCCTCTAAGTCTCGAACAGATCTTGTGTCATAAGAAGACTAGGCTCGATTGCAAAGTTGACTACGTCTTGTAGTGTTAATGGTTGCTGATAGAACATGTTCCAGATCCGCATGTTCGATCGTAACCTTGGTCTCGACGTGTCATAGTGGGGAAGGCGCGGGCAAGGAACGGCTGAGTCCTAAGAACTGACGACTGCGCCACGCTATGGTACTTCATTCTATATCTGTGTGGCTCTTGGTATTCTTTGTAATGTTGGCTATTTTTGGATTCGATGGAGCGCTTATAGACATCTGGAGGATTACCCCTCGCTACACACTGACGAGTCGTCTCGCTGCTCAAATTCTCACTTTACTATTCAAGAAGGCATCGCTGGTGATCTGAAACAGCCGGAAAATTTACACGAAGTACAGAATCACGGTTGTTGATGGAGCGATAAATTCAGTGCGTAGTGATGCGAGTGGTAGATCTCGCGATCCTCGACGTCCGTGCGCCACGCTCGAACCAAGAACGGCTAGGTACCTAGGTACCGCTGCCGTCGCATCTGCATCTGCATTCCTTCAGTTTTTTGTTACTTAGTCATAAAACTTACTTCAAGATTGAACCGTTAACTCTCAAGGCTCGGGACAGTTGTCTAGCATATGTGCTAAACGTGCATCAATTGTGGAGGCTAGGTGCCGTGGGCCGCTAGCAAGGTAAGACGAAGATACACGGTGAGGTTTTAGTCGAACGTAGGAAGGCGGGGCTGCTATGGTTACGATGATCGTGAATGGTAGCAATTTCTCCACGGATGCAAAAAAGGACATGAAGGCGGCGGTGAAGACAAAAGTATGCGTGAGTTGGTGAGGCGGTCAAGATATGTTAATACATCTTAAAGATAGCTAGGTAGCCTGGATCGAAAAAGAAAAGAAGACGTGCTCGGAGTTCCCACACCACCACCACAATGCAGTGGTGCGTGAATGATGATTGCTTTGCCAGGTACCGGTGAGTATGGGTCACAGTAAGAGTGGATGGGCAATGCCAAATGAAGTGTGCTTAAACGTTTCATTATCTTCTTCGCTTGAGAAGAACGCCAATACATGCTAGCTCATGACTGCGGAAAACATCCAAAGAAAACATGCTCTATCAAAGAGGGCCCGCTTACATGCAAGCAGCGCCATCAATGCCAATAACCTTTCCGTTGACCCAGTCACCGTCTTGAGAAGCAAGGAAGCAGACGACACGGGCAATGTCTACTGGCTGGCCGACACGGTTGTGAGGGGACCATGTGCAGGCGTACTCGTCGACCTGGTCATTGGAGAGCTTCTCACCACCGGGAATGTACTCGCGGCACACTGCGTGGTACATGTCGGTCTTGATGCCACCGGGTGCAACGCAGTTGACAGTGATCCTCTTCTCGCCAGCATCTGTAGCTTCGTCAGTAAATGAAGTGGGTGTGAAAATGATCCGACTTACCGATAGCCATGCACCTGGTGAATGTCTCAATGGCACCCTTTGAGCCGGAGTAGACAGCGTGCTTGGGTACACCCTTGGCCTGACCAGTGATGGATCCCATAAGGATGATGCGACCACCAATCTCCATCCTCTTGTACGCCGCCTTAGCGACGAAGAACTGACCACGGGTGTTGATGGTGAAGACACGGTCGAACTCCTCGGGTGTGACGTCCTTGAAGTGACCGAATGAGACGACACCAGAGTTTGAGCAGCAGATGTCGAGCTTGCCGAAGTGGGCAACAACGTCATCCATCAGCTTCTCAGACTCCTCGACGTTGCCAACGTTAGCCTTGAAGGCAGCGGCATCTGAGCCGTTACCAAGGGCCTTGATCTCCTTGACAACCTGCTCAGCTCCCTCGACGGCGTTGGCGTAGTTGACGGCGACCTTTGCGCCACGCTTGGCCAGCTCAATGGCCATCGCCTTTCCGATACCACGGCCTGGATGATAGTTAGTATTGTAGATGTGATCTTGGATATGCTTGAGCTTACCTGAGCCGGTAACAACGGCGACCTTGCCGGCAAGGCTCCATGTCTGCTCGATTGATGCCATTGTGAATGTGTTGAGGTGGGTTTTTTTGGTGTTGGGTGGAGGATCGAAGTGTAGAGGTGGTTGTAGTAGTGATGAGAGTGGTTGTGATGATGATTTCCTTCCACGGTCAAGACGAAGACATATATACCCTTTCGCTATTCGGAACTCCAGCGGAGACCGCGTTCAATGAGTAGCTCTTTTGCATCTAACCCACCACCGGTATCCCAACATCCATACGACTCCCCCAACTCAATGCCTCCGGTTCGGCACATAGCATCGCCCCCAAGAGTCGTGAGTCCTAGGGCTGAAACAGTGTGTACCTGCGCCGCACCTGTCCCGTAGCGTGGTCCCCGTCCCCGTAGGAGAGCCTGAGCCTCAGGGACAGACTTCGGATAGAGGGGCCGAAGGGCTCAGGGGTTCCCATCATTGGTCGACTCGCGAGATGCTAAGGCCGGCCGAGCAACAACAAACTTCTAGGGTCTGTTTGTGACGCGCCTGTCCGTTTCATGAGATCAGAACATCTTTTTTTGTCGACTGCGAGTAATTTTGGCACTCCATTGAGTTTTGCTGGTGAAGCACCAGGTATGACAACGTGAGAAGCCCGCGTTTGGCGCTGGAGACGACTCTTAGGGCTGGTGCGACGCCGATGGCATCGCAACGTCTATTTTCGCATCCTCGGACGTCCGCAGTCGACAGAGAGCATCTGCTGCGAGTTCTTGCACCGTGCTGTGAAGCGAGCAGAATAGAACTTCGCTGTCGACAACTCCGTCTATCGTAAGCCCTAAGGCCATGACGTTCCTGACGATCCGACATGGTCATGTGACTTTTGAAAGTGAATCCCTGGAAGGTTTAGCCTGCAAACTCTCTCAGGGTTCGGCAGGACCTCGATGTTTCTCAACACCACAGTGCACAGTGCTGGAACCTCAATGGCTCCCCATGCACCAACGGTCATCATGAATATCTTGGCACCGTGAACTCCGGACGCAATCCGGTAAATGGAAGTGTCCTAGAAATCGGCACGAATCCGTAGCTAGGGGTCGCAATCAACGACGGCCGCGGCCGGCTTCCACAGCGGGGATCCGCCGACGTCTTCATTGTCCGTGCGTATTCTTCCTCACTTCATCTTCAAAGTGTCGTACTGATGAATGTAGAAACTCAGGCAGTGAATAGCAAGCTGACTGCATCCTCATTTCGAGTTTACGGATCGTTCGAAGATAAGAATCCTGTGCGCAAATTAAACCGAGTCTAGAAACGAGCCACCAGATCCCAGCATGTACGACGACGGCGCATCTCAGTCTTTATCCAGATTACATACCTGAATTACCAGCATAATGTGGCTACGCGTCTGCGTCGGATACTTGAGTGCTTACAGGCCTCATCTTGTAAGCAGAAAATGAGTTCGCCGGCCATGGTGTCTTATCAACTACGCCCGCCGACCCAAAGATCCAAACCATGCGCATATCCACCCCGTTTTATTGGCTTTTTCATGCCGGGAATGGCTCGCCGTTGTGCGATGAACTGTCAGTGCAGTGCCGATATATCCAGCACTTGCTAAAGTTTCGGATCTTTTTGTGTGACGCTTCGGCTCGTGCATACACCCTTTCGTACCAGCAGAAGAATAGCAACGACGCGAGAGAGTCGCTTGAGGTTGGCCATTGCGCACCCAAATAGTACTCAAGAGTAAACGTGCTTGGGCGATACTTCTCGTTAAAGGGTGCTACGCGTGAAGAAGCCCACTGTTGATACTTTCGTATGATGCCAGCAACACAGCAGAACATGGCGGATGATGGCATCATTCATCGAGAGCTATGCAACCTGGAAGACTATGTGCCCACTAATTAATAGTTTTGCTGTCTGATTGCTCAAACTTTTTGAGATGGAGTATCACCGTACGAATCACCGGCGAACAAGTGCTTCCCGGCCTGAAAAAGGAGTAGCGTAGTCATCTTGGAGAGCTCTTTTGTGGACTTGTTGGAGCTATGCCTGAATCGCTTCGTTTTCCCCTCAGTCCGTTTCCCGTCAAGCACATAGCGGTGAAAGAGGGTGTCACTGGGCCCTCCACGCGACCGTCTGCCAGATCGCCCTGTACTAATGCGTCTATCCCCGGGACGATCTTGGTATACATCATCGAACCCTCGCGTTTGTATTCATGACGTCTTGGTGATGAACTCCTTGTCTTCAATACCGGTACAAACATGTTGTGGGTGACTGAGAATCTGAAGTGATACTAGATCTCAACAGAGATCTGTTGAATGCTACATAGGGCATCAGTAACGCAGAAAAGTTTCACTGGCCACAAACCGTTCGGATACTACCCGGTAAGTCCCCGATGCTTGAACTCAAGCTCGGCTGGCATACGGAAGTGCATTGATCGACACTAGGCACGTCTTTGACTAGGATAGCGCAACCATGTCACTACATCCACCACAATCTTTTGATAGGATGTAAGCCACGAACGGCGACGAAAACCTCCGATTCACCGACCGTTAGATGGAACCCACGAGGGGTCACTCGCGTGTTCACCACGCTGTGACGAGTGACATACATCAAATCTCGAACGCACGGTCCACATTTTCTAGCAGTTACGGCTATCGTGCGGGCATCCGTAGGCTTGGCATGATGCTCGTATTAGACAGGCAGATTAGAATAGAAACCATTGATCTGGGTACATAGGTTCTGTAAATGGCCCATCATGTCGTAGGTTATTGGGATGTGTAACAAGGTCCACTTGCGGCCGAAGTACTCTAATCGCTCTTGTGCATTTCGACAGCCAGGCATCTCAAACAGGGCTGCATATGTTGCCTCTGAACGCCAGTAATCACGCTGAACGCGTAAGCTTGTCAAGCAACGAGCCTGCAGGTAGACGTCTTGGTACCGGCTTTCTATCATTGTGATACCGAAGCATGCTGCATACATCCACCCCTCAACTAAACGGGCAGAAGTAATCTGTGTGGTAGCTGCATCGGGAAAAGACTTTCATTCTCCGAACACCTTCAGGGCTTACGAAGTACGTGAAGCCGCGATTGTAGGGGGGCGTTACCAGTTGTTCGGATATGATGACGGGTTTGGAGACATCAGCACGGTTACCGGAGGGTTCATCGAGACATAGTACGATCTGGGTAGAGCGGCGCCTCCATAGTGTGACGAAGTACTTGCATAGCGTCCGGGGAAAGAGGAGAGGCGAAGTGACTACATCGAGGAGGTTGAGGTACGTGCCTCAACACAGCTTGCATTCCCTACAGTGTTAAAACAACCCATGGACACATATCGCAGGCACGGTGCTACGCAGATCGAGTTAAGGAGCCCAAACACGACACACTAGCTCTTTCGACTTCCTTTATCACTTCTTGCTCTCTCAACTCAGAGCTTCCGCTGCTCTCGCGACCTCGCATATGATGGATACACGTTCTCTCCTGGCCCGTCTGCCACATACGGCACATGATTTGAACACCCCGCCGCCGTAGTGCCGCCCTTACACACACACACACATCACTCGCTCTCTTAGCCGACCCCGCCATCAAGCCTTCAAATGCGAAAGACACCAATTACCTACGCAACACCACCCATGCCCTGCTTACACTTGAAACACACACGCGGTTTAAGGGAAAAACGAAGCAATGAAAACACCGGCAGACGGCGATGACGGAGGGGCTTGGCGGGGTGAAAGGTTATATGCGTTGCACTCCAGCCGTTATGCATATGTTCATCATATCCTCGCCCGCCATGCTAATGAAAAGCCCCGCATCCACTAGCGCGGCATGAAAAGGGCCCTTCTTCTTGGGTTCAAGACTACCTACGACTAGACGTAGTCAGCGAGCTGGCATCGATATCTCTACACGGGAACCACCTACCCTCGTTCACATCAAGCCCTTCGAGAGATTATGGGAAGCACGTAACATCCTTCATCGACACCAGTCATTTGTGATACACAGGTTTGTGTTTCCCGTAACCGGTAGGTGCCATTTGACCATCATGTCTATGTACTGTACATTAATGGACTATGCTGCAGTCATATCAGATGACCGGATTCCAGGCACGACGCGAATCAGCGACCGAGACGAACATCACTCGACGCCGAAGCCATGTGTATGCCTTTGAACGCCACCCAACGCTTGGAACCTGACGTATATCCCTCCCAAGCATCCTGGATCGCCGATGCTGATGAAACACTGCCGAAAAGAGATGGAAAGAGGCAGATAACGATAAGGCAATAACGCCGATACGCCCGCTAATACATCATGAGCTTGTGTTGGCGCGACAAGAAAGAGAAAGAAGAGATGGAAGAAGTATGATGTTAACCGCGTGCAAGTTTCTCGAGTTTACTACGAATGCCATCGGAAAACCTGGTGGCGACACCCTCGTCGAGGACATCGATACAATGCGTCAGGACGGCAAAGCCGTTATCCAGTGGAACAGGGCTACCATCGCGCTTGGTCAAGGTGGGAATACCCTCCCTCCGTGACATGTACCGCAGTATGGTTGGGTGGTCAGCAGAGAGGCGATCCACAGAGAAAGCAGTATTTGATGGCTGATATGTCCCTTGATGGTTGGGACTCAAGGACTCGTTGTGAGCGAGTGAGTCAGCCCAGAAGACCAACCCTGCCCGATAGACAGCACCAGCCCACCACGGCGGGCGAATGCCTCGTGGCATCTCACGAATGAGGCGAAGAACTTGGCCAGCGTGAGTGATGGCCTCCTGCACATCCGACAAGCACTTCTTGTGCATCCACAGCATCTGTTGATACGAGCCGTCCACACCCTCCCGTCGGGCGAGGCGCTCAATCTCTGGGAAATTTGACACAGCATTCATGCTGATAAGATGGAACATGACGAGATTTGCCTGCATCATCGGACATACTGGGTTCGCCTTCATGTACCGTTGCGCCAAGTCGAACCACCGCCCCAACAACGCCTGCACCTCTTCTAGGCGTACGCGAGTCGAAGCAGCTGTCAATGCCCGATTCCGCGATCGAGAGGCTACACTGTCGGAAAAGCAACTGAGGAGTTGGCAATATTGGCAC